GCTCGTGCAAGTCACTCATCAAAGAAGGGCGAGGACGGTCTCTGTAAAGACTACCGCCCGGGGGTCCAGCTCGGGCGCGACGTCTCCCAGGTGGAGCTGAGATCGCGGGAGATTGCGGGAGATTGCGGGAGATTGCGGGAGATTGCGACGTCTCCCAGGTGGAGCTCGACGCGCTGGGCCGACAGTGCCCCGTCGAGCTCGCGCAGCTGACTCCTCTGCGCGTGCTGCATCGGCGGTCGCACGCGTCGCGGCCGCGCTCCGTCTATGCGCTGCGGGCGACGCGGCTCGCGCCGCGCTTCGCCTCGCTCGACCTCACCACCCAGGCACCACACACACACACACACACACACACACACACACACACATGCACACACACACATGCACACACACACATGCACACACACACATGCACACACACACACACACACACACGCGCGCGCGCGCGCGCGCACCGGGCCTTGGACTCTGAATGCCGTGGGGCTCCTGTCACTTAGACGTGGAGTTGTGAGGGGTAGCCCGGCCCTTGCCCCACCACCTCGTGTGTGTGGAGGAGTTTACCTTACCTACCTCACCTAGGCGGGGACGTACGTCAAGGAGTTTGTGCACGGCGACTTCGGGCGCACCTCGCCCTCGCTCGGCGACCTGCTCGGCTGCGAGGCGGACATCCTCCAGCTCGACGTGCTGGGCGTGCGGCCGGCGCGCGAGAGCGCCCAGCCGCCGCCGCCCCTGCCGCCCTTGCCGGAGTGATAGCGGGGGACCGGGGGATGGGGAGGGATCGGCACGGTGACCGCGCGGGCGCGTGAGCGGACCACCCGGGGTGATGATAAAAAGCCGTAAAGTAGTTTCAACTCCACGACTTGCGGTCCACCGACAAATTTGGCTGCCCCCATCAAAGTTGACTTCTCTCCTTATTTACATACACATAAAGAGTTAAAGAAAACGCTCGTCCAACCTCCAACCGTTGCTGCTTGCTGGTTGCTATCCCTCCGCGGCACCCGGCACCGCGCGTCGGCGCGCCGCACCGCGGGTGCCCTGGTGCGCCCTCTCTTTCTCTTGTAGTTTCATGTTTGTGCGGGGGAGAAGGCGTTGTGTGTGCAATACGGCTTTTTATGCGGTGCCGCGCGTGCACGCGGGCGCCTGGAGTGTCTGGGAGAGAACGCGTCGGGGAGAGGCGCCTTCTTTCTTTGTCTTTTGGAGGCTCAGGCTCAGGCTGTCTCCGCGCCCGAGAAACTCGTGTCTCGTCCGCCGGTCCGCGGTCGCGGTCCGCGCGCGTGTCCCCGGCAAAACCAAAACGCAAAAGCGAGAAGGAGACGGGTGGCGACATAACGACAGGTAACGGGCGCTGCAACTCTCGCCGCCGCTCTCAGTACTGGTGCATGCGCTCCAACGTCCTATCCGCTTCGAGGCTGATCGTGCGTGCTGGGCCGCGCAACTGGCGGCCGCCTCGCCCGCCTTGGACGGCCCCAGCGCTCGGGAGGAAGAGGTCGAGTCGCACCTGGGCACGCACACACAGGGGAACGGGGAAGGGGAATGAGGACCGGGCCTCTGGCGGCGCCGCACGCGGGCGCCCGCACCGGCAGATCGGCGGGCTGCGCCATGCCCTCGCGGATCCGGTGCAACGTGCCGCCGCCGCCGCCGCCGCCGCCCGCTCCGCCGTCCTCGTCGAACTGCTGCGCGAGCTGCGCGCTCTGACGTCCGTCCGCGAGGCCGCCGCCTGGGCCGCCGCCGCCCGCGGCTGCGCCGCCGCCGCCGATGCCTCCCACCCCACCGCCGCCGCTGCCCGCATCAGTGCCGCTGGCAAAGCCAATGATGCTTGTCGCGCCGTGGCCGAGAGAGCGCCCGCCGCCGCCACGGCCGCTGCTGCTGCTGCCGCCGCCGTCTCTGCCACCGCTCCCGCCGCCTCCGCAGCCGCCTGCGCCTGGGCCGCCGCCGAAAAGGGCCGCAGCGCCGGGCGGCACGATCGGCGTGCCGTCGAGCGATTCGCCCTGGGAGGGCAGAGGCCGCGTGGTGGTGAGGCGGGGACGTCGCCTCTGACGTCTTGTGGTCGCTGTGCGAAGCCTCGGCAGCCGCTGCTGCGCGGAAACACACCCGCTACTCGTGCCACTGCTACTCCTGCGCTGCCACCGCTGCTGCCGCTGCTGCCGCTACCGCTGCTACCGCTCGCCTCCTCCTCGACGCGGACGGCGCTCAGCTGAGGGAACGCGCCTCCGCCTCCGCCTCCGCGGTGTCTCGCTGCGTTCATCGCGCGCTGCGTGGCGGTCGGCGTCGGAGAGGAGCAGCGGTTGGCGGCCGAGCCGAGCTCGTGCGGCGACGGCTGCTGCGGGGTGTCCTTCGCCGAGGCGCGCGAGTTGAGGCCGAGCGTGTCATGCCGGCGGAAGAAGTGGAGCGCGCGGTCCTCGAGCTTTGGCGAGAGGAGGCCGCGCGAGAAGAGGAGCGAGTAGAGGCAGTCGCCGCTGCAAAAGGAGGCGCCCTCGAGCTCGGCCGAGGCGCCCTCGCCCGAGGACGGCGCGACGATCCAGCCCGACGCTCCTCCCGACCCGACCCACGCGCGGTTCTTGCACCGCTCGAGATCGGCGGTGAAGGAGTGGACGTACGGGTGCGTGGTGAGCCGGCTGCAGTTCTTGCATCGACTCGCCGACCAGCCTGCAAGGTCCGCGGCTTGCCTAACGCCGCCGCCTAGCTCCGACATTTTCCGTGGCGTACCAGGTACGAAAGTGTGAACAACCTGGTACGCGGGTCCAACCCTCGGAGACGCGTGTTTATTTTATGGCCCTTTCCCTGCGAACGCGCACCCCCCTAGGGGTCAGGGCTCTCTAGCCCGTAGCCCGATCCCGATCATCCGGCCCGCTGGGTGCGCTTCTTCGCTCCCCGGCCCTGGAAGCTGGATGTGTGTGAGGTTACCGACCGACTGCACTCCAAGTGCTCCAAGGTTGGAGCAGCAGCTCCTGACCACGGCGCCGCAGGCGCCTGTTGATAGGTCCAGGTGATAGCCCTGGATGGGCAATGCATACGCCTCACTGGGCCTCAGATCGCCCGACCGCGTCCCGGTGCTCTGTGGTCGGATTTGTGACGCCGCCGCACCGCGCCGCGGCCGGGGGCCCTCCGGAGGCCGAGGATGGCCGTGGCGGACCGGGACGAGCTCTGGGAGGTAGAGTGTCAGTGTATATATTGTAGAGACCAACCATGTGCACAATATTCTCAGTCTAGCTAAGCCGTGAACGCGTTGCTGGGGCCGTAGCTACAGAGCTTGATGGTGCTTCGTCGGCGTGCGTCCCGGAGCGGTGCCGGACGGGCGGTCCGTGGGACAAAATCGGGGGACAATTTTTTTTCCTCAGCGTCTACCTCCTCCGGTGGGTGGTCTGTTTTCTTCTTTCTTTCTTTCTGAGCAAGTGCTTGTGAGGCGCGCATCCGACATCCGCATAAGTACGCTCTCGGCCCCAGCTTCGGCTGAGGGCTAACAAGCTGCCGAGCCCAAATCTCTGTGAGAGTCGTGATTTCTTGTTGGTCTTCAAAACTCTCTCTCTCATAAGTAAAGAAATCAGCGGAGACCCTCCCCGGGCCGGGTAGTTTCCAAGCAGGTAAACCCGGGGGGTTTCAGGTAGCCCGCAAAATACCCGGGCGGGTAGGTAGACCCGTGCGTGGCTCACCCTCGGTCCTCGGTGCTCAAGAGGGATCCCGACTCGGGCCTGATGGAGGCATACACCAGCCGTCGCCAAAGCCGTGACTGGTCTGGCGCGCGATTACGAACGTTACAAAATCAGTTGCGCAACGCTATTACGCAAGGTTGCGAGCTTATTACGACAGCGATGCTATGCTACAAATCATCTTGGACGCTCTTCCTCAAATCATTAATTTTGAGGAATGCGTGAAACGGTATGAGCTAGGTAGGTAGGTAGAAAGGTGAAGAACAGCCAGGCTCGGACTGGACACCAACGCGGTATGGGTGGGTGGACGCAAGACAGATGATGACGACTTGACGACACGCACGAGCGACACACAGACACAAACAAGCTCACATGAGCTGCCACGCCTCCACTGTATTCGTCGTAGGGGAATTGATGCGGCGGATGCGGGCGACCAAGGCCGTGGTCGGCGACGGCGCTGCCCTCCGCCCATCGATAAAAACAACTCCTTTTACCAACCTCTTGTGAAGGCGCCGACGCTGGCAAGGCCGCCGTCTCTGTGCATCTCTAAACCCGCACACAGGCACCTCTATAACCCGCCGGCCGTCAACCTTAAAGCACCGCCGCCGCCCTATGCGCCGTCGCCCTCCCCACCGCCGCCCTGAGCCGCCCTCCCGCTGCCCGCGCCAGGGCAACAATGGCAGAGGCGGAGCTCGCCAAGCTTCGGCGGCTGCCGGAGAACCGCCGCTGCGCCACCTGCAAGCACGAGGACCGGCTCGGCTACAACGCGATCTGCGTAAAGTTCCAGATCTTTGTGTGCGGCGATTGCAAGTCGGCGCACCAGGCCTTCTCGCACCGGTGCAAGAGCGTGACGATGTCCAACTGGAACAAGGACGAGGTGCGGGCGCTAACAGGGGCGGCGGGAGGCGGCAATGTGGCCAACATGGCGAAGTACTTTGCGAAGCTGCCCGCCGACTCGCCTCAGTGGCCCGTCAAGGGCTGCCACCCCAACGACCTCAAGGAGTTTGTGCGGATCGCGTACGAGGAGAAGCGCTGGTACTCGGACGTGCCCTCGCCTGGCCCCACCGGCAGCGCGACGCCGCCGCCGGGCAACGCCACCCCGGCCGAGCCGGCGACGCTCTACTCTGCCTCGGCGCCGGGCTCCTATGCGGGGGGGATGGACCTGCTGGGAGGGGACTCGATCACCGTCGACCGCAGCGCGGGCGTCTCTGGCGGCGGCTTTTCCGCCTTTGAGGCCGGTGGCCGTAGAAGCGGAAGGCGGATTCGTGTATCCAACTAGCGCTGGGAGAGGGCGCGGGCTCAGCCGCATTCGACTGTATGCGACCCGCTTCGCCTCCCTCGTCTTCACGGCGTGCTCTGAGTACACGGCCGACACCGGCCTCCCGCCCTCATCTTGGCGTCTGCACCTGTGTATCCCTAGGCCGCGGGCACGCCAGACGCCTGGGCCAGCTTCTCCGCTGCGCCCGCGCCGCCGGCGGCGGCGAGCGGCGGCGCCGACAGCTGGCAAACCTTCTCCAGCGCGCCGCCGCCCGCGCCGTCGCCCCCGAAGCGCGCGTCGTCGTCGCGGGACGGATGGGCGTCTTTCTCCGCCGCCCCCTCGGGCAGCCTCCCGCCCGCCTCGCCCAGCGCCGCGTTTGACGACTTCGTCTCCGCGGCGCCGGCGGGGACGGCCTCCGCGCCGCCCTTGCGCAAGTCCTTCACCGCCCCGAGCGGCGCGTGCGTCGCCTCGGCTGGTAGCACAGCCTAGACGCGGGCACACCTTCCGACTAGTAGCGGTCGAGAGGACACGGAGTCCGCTGCACTCCGCCGTATTCCGCGAGGAGCCGTTGCATCCGTAGCTTCTCGTGTTCACGCGGTGCTACGAGTGCACTGCACGAGGCCGTCTCTTCCCTCCCTCACTTCGGCGCGTTCGTGATGACGTAGGCAGCGGCGTCGCCGCTCTCTCAGGCTCGTTTGCGGGCATGGGCGTCGGCTCGAGTGGCGGCGCCGGCGCCGGCGCCGGCGGCCTCAAGGGCCTGCCGGTGCGCGCCGCTCGTTGCCCCACGCTTTCCCTTCGGCTGTATCTCGGCTGTATCTCGGCTGTAGTCCCGTCCTGCAGTTCCTCCCGCCTCGCTATATCTCGGCTGCATCTCGGCTGCATCTCGGCTGTAGTCCCCTCCTGCAGCTCAAGCACCGACGGCGACCCGATCGAGGCGGTGGTTCTGGTCTCTGTAGGCGGGCGCGATGATGCCGCCGCCGGCGCCCCGCCCCCCCATGGGCATGATGGGCGGCGGCATGGGCGGCGGCATGGGCGGCGGCATGGGCGGCGGCATGGGCGGCGGCATGGGCGGCGGCATGGTTGGCATGCGCCCGATGGGCGGCATGGCTCCGATGGGAGGTGTGGGCGGCGCGATGGGCGCGATGGGCGGCATGGGCGGGGTGGGCGGGATGGGCGGGATGGGCGGGATGGGCGGCGGCGCGCCCATGGGCGGCATGGGCGGCATGCCCCCGCCGGGCATGTGCGGGCAGATGGGCCAGATGGGAGGCGGCTGCGCTCCCAACCCGCTCATGCACGGGATGCCCGGCGCGATGAGCATGGGCAGTGGCGCGTCGGGCGGCGCCTCGGCGGCGCGGCGCAGTGTCTCTCTCTCACGACTGGCGCTGTGAGTAGGCGGCCTCGGGGTGGGCGTCGGCGGCGGAGCGGCGGCGGCCGCCCCCGCGAACGGCATGCTGCAGCCGTCGAAGAGTGCTCCGGGCAGCAAGAAGGACATCATGTCGATGTACAACAACCAGCCGCAACGGATGGCGCCACCGAACTTGCCCTTCTGAGGCGTCGGCGGTCGCGCGCCGGCCCTCCCGCCCGCCCGGGACGGCCGGCGAGAGTAGTGGGGTGCTACGTTCCTCGCGAGGGCTGCAGCGCGCGCCCACTGCCGCCACCAAGCTGGCGGTCACGTGGCGGGCTGGCCCGAGGGGTAAGGGGGGGCAGGGGGGCAGGGGGGGTGGGGGGGCGGAGGGAGGCTCGCGGGGGAGGAGAGAGGGGAGCGTGCGTCGTGTTACGACTTGGCTCGAGGGTCTGCCGGTGGGACGTAGTGGGCCTTTTTCGACGTGTCGTTGTGGCGCTGTGAGCGGAGATTTGCGGGTTTGTCGGTAACTTCGTGGGATAGCCGTGGGTCTGGGTCTGGGTGGGACGGTGACTTTGCTACCCTAACCAACCACCGCTCTAATATACTCGTTTATTCACGAGGCGACTCCAGAGAACTGATATGCATATTTGACAGCTATACGGCTCTTTAGGTGTGAAGGGCAAGGGGGCTGGAGTAGGAGGCGGGAGACCTCGACGACTAGTCCGACGCTCGAGCCGACTTCAGTCTCGCTAGCGACCCCGAGTCGGCAGCGAGCCGCACAAGCAGGTCCTCCTCGAGGAGGGGGCTGGCCTCGCGCGCCTCGCGGCGAGATGCCCTCCAAGTCGGAGCTGCGCGAGCACATGCTGGCTTGCGCCGCACTGCGGTACACAAGGTGGGCTTGGTCTACCATGGCAATGCCGCTGAGACTGGTGAGTACCTGTACGTGACGACCCGAACTACACGCCGACGCCGGACATCGAGCAAGTGGTCCACACGCTAAGCGCAATGTTCAAACCGACCTCTGTCGAGCCTGAGCTCAGACAGGGGCTGTAAGGTAGTGAAAGACCTTCCCTGGGTCTGTCTCTCACACACCCTCACTGTCGTCGCAGCGCCACCACGTGCTTGCTGGGCCTGCTGCGATGGGTGCTCATCCAAAATTTCGCTCTCGAGACTGCTGTCTCCTTGCGGGCACCCGCCGCTGCGAGCGCCAGCGCCGTTGGTCAGCGCCGAGCCTCCACCTTCCGCTCCACAGCGTGGTAGGTAGGTAGGTAGGTAGGTAGAAAGGTGAAGAACAGCCAGGCTCGGACTGGACACCAACGCGGTATGGGTGGACGCTGGACAGATGATGACGACACGCACGAGCGACACACAGACACAAACAGGCTCACAAGACACACAGCCATCTGGCTGCCACACACCCTGAGTCGGCGTACACATAACTCAGGGCCACATCCTCCCTGTCGCCCCCCCCAGCACTCCACGGTGCCAAGGGCACAAACAAGACATTCGCTCTCACCTGGCAACCCTGTCTGCACGTCTCGCGCGCGCGTGAACAGGGCTCCAGGCCCCAAATGACGTGTGAGTGTTAGAGTTGTTTGGTATTGCTAAAAATCTCTCTCTCTCAAACAAAGGGCACAACTCAAACAACAGACGACAGGAAGTGACATGTGAGGCTAGAGCAGCTTGCTCCACCTCTAGCAATCTCACCGGCCTGCGAGGCACGGACGAGACCGTATGTGGGGTCTAGCGTGGGAAAGGTGAAAGGTGTCAAAAATCTTTTCTTTTGTTCGGAAAAGGGGTCCGTGAGATCCTCCGGAGAGCGGCGGACGTGCTACAGAACAAGCTGACGCGGGCCCAGTACCTCGATGAGGTGACTTGGACCACCAAGAGCTGGCTGGGGCTGCAGAAGCAGCGCATCTCAGTCGTTCTTCACACGGCCATCGCAGAGCAGGTCGTGAATGAGCTTGCCTGTGGCGGGGGTGGGCGGGTGCACGGAGCTAAGTGCCTCGCCACCCTCGCAGGAGTCGCTTAGGCGGCTCCCGTGGTGTACCTGTGTTAGTGCCAGTGCGAGCCAGTCCCGTGCCCAGTCCTGTGCCCAGTGTTGTGCGAGGGAGTTTTGTTGTAAAATTCTTTTGTTGTCAACTGTTCGGCCGACGGCCTCTCGCCAGACTCAGTATGCTCGACGACGACACGCCAAACGCCACCACCCCCAACACCGCCGTCATCACCGCCAACGCCACCACCAGTTCTACTACTGCCATCACCAGCACGACCACCGCCACCTCCTCCACCACCGCCGCCAACCCCACCACCACCACACACCCCTCCGTCGCCACTCCCGATTGGTCCGCCCTACCGGAAGACCTTGTGCTGTGGGTTCTGTCGCTTCTGCCACGCCGAGCTGCTTCGCCTCGGCCTGTGTGTCGTGCGTGGACGGCTGCCTGGCAGTCCGAGCATGCGTGGAAGGCGGCCCCGCTCAGCGGGAGGTGTCGCCTGATCGCCATGCCGCGCGCCTCGATCCATTTGCGGCCGAGTTTGCGCGCGTGCTCGCGCTCAGTCGGCACGAGAGGATGATTACAACGACGGTGTTCATTTCTAGTTCCGAATTTTCGACCTTAGTGCTTAGACCCAATGTTCGCCCTGTAAGCCAATATAGTAGAAATGTGGTTGAATTCTTTGTCACATGAACATGTAGATGACTATTTTGCTGGGTCGTCTGGCGCGAGATGAACGATTCAGTTTTTAAAGATAAAGTATTTCCGCGTTAGATGGCGTTATGTGTTAAATAGTGCAACAAAATGCAAAAACGAAATTGCACGGACTAGCCAGTAACTAACTTTAACCCCTAAACGGCTACCGAAACGGGGGGTGCCCGGAAGGGCGATATCACGGCGGCCTAACTGTGCCTCCGTGCGCTCGCCACATACCCCCTGCTGCCCGAGGGTCGTGTTAGCACTTCATTGGGCACATACAGAGGCGGTGGGAAGCCACCACGTTCCCTTTAAATTTTCCGCCACAGAGCTCCGGAGCGCGCTCTGCAGACTGCACGAGCTCCTGGAGGACGCGGTTTCGTCTTTCGATCCCAGACGGTCGTCGCACGTCGGCACCCCAGTGAGGTCCGCCGTCATAGGTGTAGCACGCTACTAGACACACTGCCTCCAAGTTGAGCGGTGGAAAATTGTGACGAAGCCACGCACCGAAGCGCCGGCGTCCCTGTGGCAATCTGCCACCGACAGCAACACACGCCTTTGATCACCGGCTGCTTGCGCTCCGCATACTCTCCAGAAGCTGTTGGTTGTGTGGCTGGTGCTACTTCTATCAGCCTTCCTCATGCACAATGTTGCCGTTGAGCTACGAGGCTGCAACCCGTCGTCATTTGAGTTTGCTGCCAGCCACACACAGCGCGTCCCTGCTGCACGAATGGTTGGACAGGTGTGAACAACACCTCGTGGGGGCGGCACCGCAGGCGTCCATTGAGGGGTCCAGGTGATAGCCCTGGGCGGGCAATCCATACGCCTAGTTGGACTTCAGATCGCCCGATCGCGTCCCGGTGAACTGACGTCGGATTTGTGACGCCGCCGCACCGCGCCGCGGCCAGGGGCCCTCCGGAGGCTGAGGATGGCCGTGGCGGACCGAGACGAGCTCTGGGAGGTAAAGTGTCAGCGTATATATTGTAGAGACTGACCATGTGCACAATATCTCTCAGTCTAGCTAAGCCAGGGGAGGCTATTCTGGGCGTCCACACGGCTTGCACAGGTGACCCTCGCGACAAAGCGAGCGCGTCCGGCAGAGCGACTGAAGAATCGAGGACAGAGTCACAAATCCCGCTTGTTGTGCATGTTTTGAGGTCGGACAGTGCTGCTGTCTTCTCCACGCAGCAGCCGACGCCACCAGGCCTCGGTAGCTGAGCAGCAGGAGCCTCCTCGCTGCTGGCAGAGTTGCGCCTCTGTTTGCCGCCGCTAAGAGATCGTTGTTGCGGGAATCCAGGGAATCTAAAGGAATCTAGAATCTGTGGGTCCGAGATTCGATCTGGGACCTGAGCCGCTCGGGACCAGCTGCACATGACCCGGGGCCACTACCATGTCGCAGACGACTGCTGGATCGGCCGTCGCTCCGACCAGCCGTCCTGCAAAGGAATAAAATAACAATGAGTTCCTTTACATATGTAAAGGAACGCCGTTTAGGGGTTAAGAAGGACTTGTGGTTGACGTAGAAACGACCTTAAGATGGTGTGGTAAAATGAGGATTGATGTGGGTGTGGCCAGCGTCATCACCAATCACCCCCTTCTTACACTACAAGACGTTAAATAATCAAGACCACTGCGCTCTACGCCACTCCATCGATGCAATCATAGCCCTTGCCCTGTCGGAACCCCTGGCCAGGGATTCGAGCGGAGGGTGCCCCGGATTCATCTATCCGTTGGGCCCCGGCACCTATTTTAGAACTGATCACTTTGCGCAGCAACCGTCGGCCGCCGCTTTTTAGCTGGACGGCAGTACGCTGCGCCGTCGCTCTGTCGTGCACGCTCTCGTGCCTCGTTGTTGTGACCCACCCTGTCCCACCCGTGTGTGATTAGTGTCTACGGAGGGAGTGTCTTTGGCTCACGCCAGGGCGCTCGTTGCTCCTCCGTCTCTTTGTATCTTCCATACTGCGTTTATCAGAAGACCCCGGTGTACGAACTCTGTTCACACCGAGCAGCTGGAGTGGCTGCGGAAATCGGACAGGCGAACCAGCCAACCCAGAAACCGGCTGAACCGGCACCTGTCTCTTCTGCCGGCTTTGGCGTCTCGTTCACGCGGGCTGGCGCCTGGCGGCGCCGCTGCGCGGCATGCTCTCCTGCCGGACGGTCGCCAAGCACCTGCGCCTCCGTGCCGCAGTAGTTGACATCGCGGCGCTGGAGCGCTCTGCTCTCGAGCCCAAGGCCAAGCGCCAGGAGACGCTGTGGGGTCCGATCAAGCTGCGCAGCGCCGCCGAGGAGATTGCAAAGCGGGACGTCCAGGTGCTCCTCCAGTCAGAGATTCGGCAGGAGCTATCCAAGCGCGGCGCGCCTCTTGTCGGCAAGCCCTGGGAGCTCAAGGCGCGGCTGGCTGAGATCTGGCAAGCGGAGGAGGACCAGGAGGACGCCTCGGGAGGTCTCTCGGGGCCGCTCTTTGCCTCCGCGGCGGTGCCGAGCTTTGCGCAGAAAGCGGCAGGCCCCTCCGACGATCAGAGAGACGCGGCGGCCGACCGTGTCAAGGCCATTCGCGACAAGTATGCCGACAAAATGCGGCTGCGCACGGGGTCGGGGCTGCCGCACCAGAGCGACGCAGCTGGCAAGGACGCCGCGGTTCACTGTGCAATCGCGGGCGCCGCGGCCAAAGCGGTGTCGCCCACCGGCTGGAGGTTCCGGTCGGGCGCGAGAGAGCTGTGCCAGTATCTCGACGTGCGCGGCATCCGGCGCATCCTGCTCGACGATAGCTCGGCGACCGTGGAGGAGGCGGCCGACCGGGCGGCGGAGCTGACCCGTCAGTTTCAGCTCGAGGCGTGGTGTCACGTTCTGTCCCCAGCCGACGCAGCGAAGCTCTATGCTGGCGATCCCGCCGCCCTCGAGGCGGCAGGGGACGCCGTCGGGCTGCCGCTCTCGTCCATTCTACTTCTATCCGCCGAGCCGCGCGCCGTGGCTGCGGCTCGCGCCGCCCGGATGCCCTCCTGCTACTTTGCTCGCGACGTCCCTGGCTATCCGAAGGCGGTGCCCGCCGACGCGGTCGCGCGCAACATGAACGACGTGCGGACAGCTGTGGAAGACTTTTGTGGCGTCACATTCCGCGACGCGACCACGCACATATCCACGCGATATGGCATATGACAGGTGGTCAGCGTGCGCGCCCTCGCTTGGGATGTCTTCGTCAGTTTTTTCACCTTTCTGTACAAATACAGCGCAACAGCTCACTCATACGTCATAGAAATAAATAAATAAATAAAACGGGCACCTCTACTAGGAGATGGGTAAAAAGGAACAGGTCCCCGCCCTGCGGTCTTCACTCATAGAGAGGCGAAATGCCTATTGCCTTTTTTTCTTTGCCTGTGGCTGTGCGGTAGAGGGAAGTGCTAGCACGCGCCAGTCGCAGTCCGCATGGGCGTTCTTTTTCTTTTTTGTCCTTCTCGGCGGCCCAAATCCTGGGGGCTCGGGCCTTTTTCCGGACGGACCCCGGTGTGAACGGGTGTAGTTTGCCGGGTCCCGCGGGTGTAGTCTCCCCCCATCCCCAGGGCCTCCAGGCCGCTCGCACCGCTCAACCTCTCACAGACCAGCGCGCACAGCGCCATAGCGCATAGGACGTATTTTCTTCTCAATAACAAGGTCTGTGAAAGCGAGGAGGTTGATTGATCCATGCAAGTATTTTCTTCTCAAACAAGGCTGTGTGAAAAAGTGAGGCGTGCGCGCGTGGACTGTACATGGGTCACCGCGCGCACCCAGTGCTCCGAGTCCGACGGCGCCCTCTACGACGCGCACATCCGGGCGGTGAAGCTGCAGGCCAAGACCACAGGCAAGGCGGAGGTGGACCTGTTTCACAACTTGTGCTGGGGGCACGGGAAGGTGGCCCTCGGCAGGTATCCGCCCGAGCTTGACGGCGCGGATGCCGCGAATCTCGCGTGAGGAATTGTGTGTGTGTGCAGTCGCGTAGGTTCCCCATGAAGACACCGTGTAAATCAGTATCCTCGCTAGTGTTCACCCCCCCAGAAGAGAGACAGGTAGGTAGGTAGGTAGGTAGGTAGAAAGGTGAAGAACAGCCAGGCTCGGACTGGACACCAACGCGGTATGGGTGGACGCTGGACAGATGATGACGACACGCACGAGCGACACACAGACACAAAAGGCTCACAAGACACACAGCCAGCTGGCTGCCACACACCCTGAGTTGGCGTACACATAACTCAAGGCCATATCCTCCCTGTCGCCCCCCCCAGCACTCCAAGGTGCCAAGAGAAAAAAAATATTCTTAGCTTCAAGCCCCCCTCCGAGACTAGGGACAGTCACCATCCGTACACAGGAGAGATGGGAGTGCGCCTCGCCCCCACTTGCCCTGACTACACAGGATAGCATGCCCCGATAACGGCGACACATAGTGGGGGACACTGCGCAAGGAGGGGGTGCGAAGGCTCATTGGGGTACTAGGTGGGACCATGAGGGGGGGTGGGCGGGGTCCTGTGGGGGTGAAATGTTGCGCGGCGAATTCGAACCTACCCCCTCGCCGCGCCGATCCTCACGCGGAGGGTAAAACCCTGTGGGACAAAACCCCTCCGCGGTCGGCAGTCTTCAGAGTGGACCCCCCCCTCCCCAGCCTCCCCTGTGCATCTCGCACCCCCCCCCCGCTCCCCATCGGTGACTCGCGAAGGACACGGACACTCGGGGTGAGGGGGGGTCCCCCAGAGAGGGGGCTTTGGGGCATTGTTGGGTTGATCGCTCGTGCCGATCTCGGGTCGATCTCGGGTCGATCTCGGGTCGATCTCGGGTCGATCTCGGGTCGATCTCGGGTCGATCTCGGGTCGAACTCGGGTCTCGGGTCGGTCTTGGGCGGGTCGGTCTCGGAGTGGTCTAGAAAAGAAAAAAATGGGGCGAGATGAGGCGAGATGAGGCGAGGTGAGGCGAGGTGGGGGGCGAGATGAGGCGAGGTGAGGCGAGATGAGGCGAGGTGAGGCGAGATGAGGGGCGAGGTGAGGCGAGATGAAGCGAGGTGAGGCGAGATGAAGCGAGGTGAGGCGAGATGAGGCGAGATGAGGCGAGACTAGGAGGCGAGATGAAGCGGGATGTTGTGTGGCTGCTTGTGCTGCCAAGCAGGCAGCACAAGCAACCATACAAGTGAGCTTTTGGGTTGTGTGGCTGCTTGTGCTGCCTGCTCATGAGCAGGCAGCGCAAGCAGCCACACAAGTCAGCTTTGGGAGCTCTCGGCGACGCCCAATGCGTGCGCCGGTAGGGGGGAGTGTGTGCGCGCGTGTGTGAGATGTGGATTGTGGCGGGCTGCTGCTGCTGGTGGGAAGTGTGCTCTGTGTGTGGCGCTGCGCTGGCGTGCGACGCGCGCGTGCTGTGTACGTGTGCGTGTTGCGGTCGCGCGCGCGTCTGCGTGTGCTGCGCGCGCGCCACTGGTGTGTGCTGTGTGCTGTATTCTGTTGTGCGCCTGTTTGTGCAGCTGGGAGGCGCAGGCTTGGCTGGCAGGGCTGCGCGGCGGGCTGCGGCGCGCTGCGGGTGGTTGTGCGCCTGCCTGGCGGTGTGCGGCGGCCGCTCAGCCCGCCCGACCGGGTCGTCGGCGGCCCAGGGCGCGGGCATGCGGTCTGCGCTGCATGTGAGGCTGTGTGCGCGGCTGGCGCGTATGTTTCCGTGCGGCGAGGGACGCGCGTATGTGTTCACGCTGCGGGCGCGGGCGGGCGCGGAGGGCGGCGCGGTCTCACCGCGGTCCGACGCCCGTTGGTCTTCTGCGTGACGAGGGTGGGCGCGCAAAGAGCTTGCCGCCATCGCGTTGCCGCGAAGGGAAAAAAAAACCAAGGTGCCAAGAGAAACAAACAAGAGCACAACAAACAACAGACGATAGGAAGTGACATGTGAGGCTAGAGCAGCATGCTCCACCTCTAGCAATCTCGCCGGCCGCAAGGCACGGACGAGACCGTATGTGGGGTCTAGTGAGGTGTCTATGGACGCCCTCCTCATGGGCTAGCTGCCTGCGGCTAGCCCTAATCTCGCACTCACGGACAGCGACAATCAAATGGGTGAGTGTTTGCGAGCAGAGGCGCGAGGGCTAAATCTAGGCCGCACGTCGTGGCACTATGACGAAGTAGACGTGCGGCCGCAGCGCGCCCGCCGCAGGCTCGGCGGTGCGCGCGTGTTAGCGACAAAGTTGCGGGTGGAGCCATGCCCGACTTTTCGAAGGTGAGGCCTCTGCGACGAGTGCCAGCCGCGCTGCGGAGCCACGCCCTTCGAGCCGCGTCCCGTCGGCACTGTCCCCGAGTGGTCCCGCCTTGGCGGCACACACTCTCGACCAGG